TAAAATATTACTTGAGCAATGATTATTTCATTTTATTTTTTTAATATTATTGTATAATTTTGCATTAGCTTATGTAAATGATTAATAATTTATTATAACTATTTTTTTTAAATTTTTATACTTAATATAATAAATTATATAGCGTAAATATAATGAATTTAAAAATATTAACTAAAAAAATATTTTTTTTTTGAAATTAAAAATATTAATTAGATATACTTTTTTTATAAAGTTTGCTTTTTTACTGAAATATCGAAATTATTTCTGTAATAAAAAAAATTGTGTGAAGTTTCTAAATAAATGATAAAAATAAACTACAATTATAGAAAATTAATTTATTTAATATTAATGTATTAATTTAAAAATAGTTATGTTTATTCTGAATGAATTGAAGATTCAAAGATATAAAAAAATTTTAAAAAAAAAAAATAAAATTTTTTTTTAAATGATAATAAAAGTAAAAATAAGTGTAATGATAAACATATTATATTGGTGAATATCATGATTATCGAATATTTCAATTCTTTAATGTTATTTATATTAATAAATTATGTAATTTAATTTGTATCAATTCTAAAAGTGACTGGTATAATGACCATTAATATCGTAAGATACATAAATTGATTTAATATTAATGCAGGATGTTTATAAATAATATGTAATTAAGATATTGGATATACGTTATAATTATAAAGTGTTATTAACATAAACAATTTTAACATACAACCACTAAAATATATTTGATAAAAAATTTATGATATATAGCAATAAATATTGAAAAAAATAAAAACAAGGTATCATAATCTTATTTACATTTATGGGTATAATGGTGGTTTTAATGAAAACAGTAATAAAAATGTAATTTACATAAATTTGAATTTATTTTAATTATGATTCAATTTCTTACATAACAATATATTGTTTGGAGAAATTAAATTTTAGAATTAATGAAATGCATTTTAATTTATAAATTCACAGCTAGGTGTTAACTACCTTTTTCAGATATATAATTTGAAATATATGACAATAAAAATCTGAAAAAAAAAAGAAATTTAAATAAATATAAAAATCATCTTACTTTTTATAATTTAAGTAATAATAATATATAAATCTCAATAAAAATAAACAATACAATGAAGTTATCATTTTTATAACTTAATGATATATAATTAAAGCAAAAATATGTGTACATATATTGCTAAAAGTTTCTACATAAATATGTTAAAAAGCAACAATAGCAATTATGAAAAAAAATATTTTTAAATATAGCGAATTTTAAGTTATAATAACAATAATTATAACAAATGTAAAAACTATTATAGATAATATTTATTAAATTATATATGTTACATATATGATAATTTTAACTTAAATTCTAATTATGATAGTTATGTTAAAAATCAAGTGAAATGAAATAAATGTAAATAGATTAAATAAAAGTAGATGCAGTAAATTTTAAGATATATATTTTTTTTCTTTGTTTTTTTTTTAATTCAATAAAATGTATGCAATTTTTAACCATTCTAATAGTTGTAATATAAAATAAAATAATTTTTTTTTTTTTTTTTATCATCTTCAATAGTATTATATCCATAAATCTACAAATATAATGAAAAACAATTTGTAATATATCATTTTTATGAAAATTTTTACTTTTCATCAATTTTATTTTCATTCGTTTGTTATGCTACTCA